CCCCAAAACCCCAAAACCCCAAAACCCCAAAACCCCGTCCCAATCTTTCCCCACTGAAGGCCACTCAATTATAGCTTTACCCAAATTTTCAGAAAATGTTTAGTCGTAGGAACTGTTGTTCTTCGAATCTCCTGGAACTTTTAACATATTTTTGAGGGGTACTTCCTTGTTCTGAACGTCTAGACATCTCTATAAGGGATCTTAGACATGCAGAGTTATATCTGAGCTTTTATATAGTTCAAGAGTTTATTCGGCTTTAATAGTGGGTGCAATGGGTATTGGCAGAAGAAGAAGTTTAATAATTTATACTTTACCTGTTTGGCTTGGGGGTTATTGGGTTAATTCTAGAATATGGGTAACATGGGGGCTTAGATTAGGAAAATTTATTGTGGTTGAAGTCTAAGGTATTAAGGCTGCGGTAGTTTAGTGACAGAGTAGTTTGTTGGAATACTTATGAGCATTTAAAGTAAGGAATTAGTTAATAGTCTGAAGGAGGTTGTGCTTTAAGGGTATAGAGAATCTTTCTTTCTAGTAAATAAAACGATAGATGTTACTGTCAGGTGCCACTCTATTTTATTCTTAGCTATTTTATAATTTTTTGAGGAAAATTTGTTGCTGAAAAACAAGACTTGTATATATAAGATAACAATTTGACCAAGTTATAAATACCTGTGTGTAGTCATAAGTGTTGTTCAGCTTGAAGATTCTTGGTGCACTAAAGTTTGGATAACAAAGTTTACCTGACCATTTCTATTTCTTTTGGTAATTCCATACTTTCTCTAGATGTATCTCAGACTATTCTCTCATTAAGCCTGTTGTTGATGCCTAGCTCTGACAAAGTTCCTATTTCGTATTTGCTTTCTTCACCAATTCCTTCTCTAATCGGAGAAGATATCTTTAAGCTATCTGGTAGCTCATGCTCAATGAACATTTCACCGATATTCTCTTCATCAAAACTAGGAAATGAGCGCAATAGCTCCTCTAAAAGTTAGAATTAAGTTTACCTTGTCCCTCCATTGATAATACAGAAGAGAAATTATCGTTATCCTCATAATCTTCTGGTGAAGGACAGAGCAAAACTTTCGCCAAGTAGCATATTCCTAACGATGCAACTATCAAAGCTATAGTGAGAGCCTCGAACTCTAGTAAGGCTATCATCTGTCTGAAGTATTCAAAGTGTTTATAAAAGAAAATTGACCAACCAATGTAGATAATAGGGAATCATACAGCTATCACCATGAAATATTTAGTATTTGAGTTATAGATTTCAGCATATTCAGGAAAGGCTGCTGCGAGATCTCTGTTTTCAGAAATCATTTCTAATAACTTGAGTTCTATAAGGACTGAAATTGCATAGATGTTCGCAGCTAGGATAAAGACAATCCATTCTATAGCGATCCTCTCGTAGATCCTAAAAGTCTCTGATGTGAATATCAATTTGTTATTAATCGCAACTATCAGAAACATTGCTATGAAGAAGTTTAGCATGACTTTGCGTAATGGTCAGAAAGTGAGCTCGGTATGGTGATAACTGGGGTAATGTCCAAGTCATAGCCATCAGAACTCATGACTACACTTAGCACATACCATATGGGATCATCCTTCTAGTTTGATAATACATATACCACATTTAGGACATGGTTCTCCTCTGACCACCTTTGCAAAGTTATTGAGATGGTCTGAATTTAAGCTGAAAAAGTTTTTGATGCCTATCTTAAGTCTCTTACAGAAAGGGTACAATTGTGGGTCATCCCACTGGTGACCTCATTTCTCTCACTCTAATTGGGCATGAGAAGGTCGCATATTAATAGTTCCAGCATAGTCACAGTCCTTATTTAGGACACTTCCTAAAATCTTGCTCTTGGATTGTAATAATATTTAGCATAATTTTTGTAAACCTCTCTAGTGCTTCGTTGTCACCAAACTCGTGAAGAAATTCTAATCAATCAGAATGAGTAAGCTCGTGGACACTATCCTGCTCTTCAATCAGTTCTTTAGAGCAACCTCTGTTGAGACAGGGAATGGTCAGATGTGATGATTCCTTCTGATGGCTTCTCCGAGCAGAATCATGTGATGGTATGAACCCTGGCATAGCTTTAGCTTCGACCCAATCTACAAATCAGTGAGAGCAAGTTTTAAACCCTCAGCTAAGTTTAGTTGTTGAAATCAACGGATGCGCATAGCAAATCGGACACATTTCCAAGTTCATCTTTGCCAAATTCTATAAATAATTAATAACCTGGGGTTTTGGGGTTTTGGGGTTTTGGGGTTTTGGGGTTTTGGGGTTTTGGGG